TGGTGTTGCAATTTCACTTTTGAGGAGTGTATATACGCATATATATATATATATATATATATATATATATATATCTGGAGAATTGTTTGAATGATTGATACATTATTGACAGACGTGGTAGGCTATATGAATGATATAAAAACGACATTTGTTTGGCAGAAAAAAATGCGTTTTATTCAGCATTTAGGTACAAAACAAAACAAAAATTGTTTGTGCATATGAGAAAAACCAATTAAGAAAGGTGTTTCCTTAAAAAAAATCATGTTTGTTAGGGAATAGGATTTCCCCGGACGGCCAGCAACGTTGAACCCCGAGTTGACATCCAATCAATAAGGCTGTTAATGAGGGGCTGGGGTATTCTGTCCCACTCCCCCAGAAGAGCTCTTTCCAGTTCTTGGAGAGTTTGTGGGGGTGTTAGGCGTTCAGCAATTCATCTGCCCAGAATCCTCCAAACATGCTCACTTGGGTTCATGTCCGGAGAACATGCTGTCCTATCCATTCGTATGGTTCCTTCCTTTAAAAGGAAATCATTCACCAAGTTAGCACGATGTGGCTTGCAATTGTCGTCCATTAAACATGACGTCATCTCTAATTGCTGCAGCGTAAGGGACTACAATGGGTCTCAGGATCTCATCCCTATATCGTCGACCGGTCAGAACTCCATTTCGAATGACATGGAGATCGGTTCTCCCATAAATCGAGATGCCAGCGTAGACCATGACTTCCCCACCGCCAAATTTTACACTTTCGAGCACGAATGCAGGATTGTTTCTGGTGCCGCGTTCCTTCCAGATAAAAATACGTCTATTATTAAAATAAACAGAAAAACGGGACCTGTTAAAGAAAAGAATATCGCGCCATTCATTTCTCCTCCAGTTCACATGCTTTGTTGTCCACTCCCTGCGGGCGAGACGGTGCCTTGCTGTTAACGTGACACACACCATTGGTCGGCGAGCATACAGACCTACAACTTGAAGGCGGATTCGGACAGTTTGAGTCGAAACTGTGGTGCCAGTAGCCGAGCGAAGGTGTTTCTGAAGAAGAGTGGCATTCATATTTCAATGTTTCCGAGTCGTTAGCGTTAAATAACGGTTTTTGTTGGACGTTATTGCACTTCTATGCCCTCTTCGGCCTGCATTTCTTGTCTCCCAAAAAACGGTTTCAGATCCCGTAAATCGTACTTTGTTAAACTCCAATGGCTTCTGCTACTTCGGCTTGCGTTTGGTCCCCCTCTAATCAGCCAACAACTCTCCAAGCTTCTTATTAGGTTAAATGACTTCGTTAAGACATCGCACTCACCGAAGCAACGCGCTTACTGAATGTCAATCATTCTCTTCTTTGTCTTACATTAAGTTAAAGGCCAATAAAATTTGCTACCTCCAAAGAGACGTCCAACTCAAAATTTGCATGCTGCGCGAAGTTTGAAAATAATAAAAATTTGCATTTGTGACTATCTTTTCCATTTCAGGCACACACAAAAAAAATTGCTTATACTGTTATTTTATGTACTTACGATATTCCTTAATTGTTTTAAGCTGTGTATATTATACATCTATCAAAAAATTGGGGTCTCCGTAACTAGAGAGGTTGGAAAAAAGAATCATCCTTAAAAGAAACCATCTTTTAATAAAGACTGCCTCACAATGGTTAAGCAAATGTTTCCAATATACTGGCAAAATTGGTAATCATAAAATTATATATCAAAAATAAATAAAATTATAAAAATGATATTTTATTGCAAAGAAAATAGAAAGAAGAAAGAAAAGAAGAATATGATGATAAGAAAAGAAGAAAATGATGTGCTGAACCGCTTAATGAAAACCAATAAGGATTTACTGTAATATTTTCCTGAAAAAAAAATGAGATTTACCAGGATAGTGCTGAAGAAACTTGGTAGCAATTTATTTTCCAAATTATTAGTTCAAATTTGGGGGAAAAAATCAAACTTTGAATAGTTTATCTAAGATATGTTTCCTCGTTTGGCTAAAACATTCAATATTTTTAGCATCTCCTCCTTTAGCATAACTCTCTTTGAATTTCTTAGCTTGATGGAAGGCGAAAAATTATTGATTGCTACACAGACAAAGATCTGGATCTTGGAGTTCCTCTGAATATATTTAATGCAGTTGTCTTACTGCATGACTGCGATGATTTCACGAAAAACTATTACCGATATACTTACAATAAAGGTATGTGACTTTAAAGTTCAATTCTTCGATTCCATCCTTTTTATGACAATGGTACATACATAGGTGTGTGATTAAAAGTAATAACTTTCTGTCATATAGCGTAATCAACTGTCAATACAAGGCTCTAAAAATTTTTTCAATTGAGAAATTTAAGACTTCAACTAAATCTCTTTACTAAATAAAATTAATGTTAATTAAACTTCTTTTTCTTGTAAGGGTACGTAAATATTCTGGAGTATATAATATGATGGTGATTAAAATAACTGACGTAAATCTTGAACCAGCTCTTCTTTTCTCAATCTTGAACTTATTACTTTAATAGTATAAAAGTTAACACAGAGTATCTTAGTTTAACGCTTCAGAACTTCTAAGTGAGGTACGGTGCATTCTTAACGACTAGAAGTCTTATAGCAATGCATTTTCGGAAATGCTTTCCAGAAGCAGTCCTGCACTCTAACTCATCATAAAGAAAAAGTCAGTAGGTGAATATTGTTTTAGTGATAAATGTACGAAAGTAAATGAAACATGGGCCAAAGAAAGTATTCGAAGTTTCTTCAACCTACTACAATGTAGACCTCCCCTCTAAGGCGCGTGGATTCCAAATATTTTGGAGAAATCCAGGCTCATCACGAATTTCTCCGGCAACTACCAATGCCATCTATCTCTTCAAGAAAGTGTTTCCGATCCTGTATTGCTATCTGATTTTGAGTCGTTAGGATGCACCCTTACCCTTCTTAGAAGTTCTAGAACATTTACAATAAAGTGGTTGCCAAATGACAAATAAAATAAGCTTAAATTGTTTAATTTTGAGAACACTTTAGAAAAAAAAACTTTATTGCACGATTATCATATTACATTTTTAAATTACATAGTGATTGGTAGTGGTTGGTTATAAGAAAATTCTCCTGGTAAAATAAGAGGAGTTGGATGTATGTAAATGTATATTTTTTGGTTTCAGAATTAATTCCGATTCCAAGACCAGAAGAAAAAATAGGCTACAATCACCAACTGATTTACAAGCATGAAGGAGCAGGAGAGCCTGAACAGACAATTGGACTTCACAATTTTCTTCATCCAAAACCGAAGAACAGGGATCTAATTAATTATTTCAAACACAGCGGGTAATTAATGAAAAGTAATTTAAGTTGAGACAATCCCAATAAATATAAAAAAGTAATAAAAAAAATTATAATAATCCAAATGGAGCGTTGGAAATAAGTTGTTACTCTGCTTCAGTTAACGAAGAACTCTTCCAGCTCTATAGCACCTAGTGACAATTGGGTATACTATAGCCTACGTCACAGGTTGTGTTATTCCTACTAAATTTAACCCATGAACGGCATTTTTTGCGAGCCTAACTTCAAGCCACAAATAAACAAACGAAGTGTTTGATCGTTTAAATAGCTGCTCGCCAGATTTTATTGCATTATAAAGAAAAGTAATTGATATTCGATTTTTGATTAATAATTGATTTATGTGGATAGTGGCATTGAATTTAGCATTGCGTCATGGTAAATGTTATTCCTACTAAGTGGAAGTAGTTGTGTTTTTTTAATATTATACCCAATTGTCAACATAAATACTTTCGTAATCAGTTAAAGAATGATGATGAAAAATGACCATCTTAGAAAAACACATCTGGTAAAAATGGTGGGCAAAAGTCCCTCAGTCAATAGTGATTGAAACAGATTTTGAATTTTCAAAAGTTCGTTCTATGTTCGAGAAGTTATAGATGAATGTTTTTCTGTAGATTAACGAATCTTTTTCTGAAAGAATGAGCAGCACATTTAAACAAATTTGCTGTATGCCTGCTATTGTAATGGGAACATTTAGCAGGCGTGTTGACATGTTTGTTGAGTTCGGGAGAGAAATAATTTGCTAAACATTTTACACAGCTCTTAAGCTTATCGTACTTGAATTGAACATCTCCATATTCTTGACATCGGAGGCATTGAATGAATAATTATCCCATTAAAAGCGGATATTTGTATGATTGTTTTTTAAACAAATCTGCAATTTTATGATTTTTTTTGTTGAAATTTTTATGAGAGAAACAAGAAATTTGTAGTCACCAGAAAACAGTTAGGCATATTTTGATCTAAAATTACGTAAATTCTGCATTTTAAATTTAGAGGCCCGGTCGTAGAATTTACGGAGTGAATCTACAGCACTATCTTCATAAATCCAAATTTTTCTGTGATCTCAATACAGTTAGGCAGAGATTATCAGTGCAAAAAGTAATCTAACATACTAAAAAAAACTTTATCTAACATACTAAAAAAAATTTGAAGACATAAGGTCCTTAAAAATTATAAATGAAAACTTTATGTTTTTTGAATTTAAGTTAAATTTTATACAGTTCTAAAAAAATCAGCAATTAAGTCTTATACAGTTAAGTCTGTAATCAAGTAACAGAAAAAAAATCTTTAGTTTTTTTCCTTTGTCGCATTCTCTCAATTCAGTTTTATTCGAAAAAAGTTTAGAGCTTAAAAAGGAGTCTCGGTGATTCCCTTTATTTCTTTTCTTAAAAATAATAATAAAACTTAGATGAAAAATAATATGCAAATGCTGTAACAATCGGCAGCTCCATCTGCCATGTTGGAAAGTTTCTGCCACCGGGATTTAGGGTAGCCAACACTAGTAATTTTTAAATTTGTGAAAGCGTATATGCCTTATTACTTTTTTCCACAAAAGGAGATACGGTAAATATATAGCATTATTTATGTCTGTAAAAGGGAATTTTAATATGCAGTGATAGCCAAAGAAGGAGTGTGATGCAGTGTTGGTGCCCTACAAAAGATACTTCTTAAAACATCTTATGACTGGTGCAGAGATGCCAACTTCTAATGTCTGTTTTATGATGTAGAAAATTCGATTTACAGAAATTTTACTCACTACTACTTCGGAATAATTCAAATCCTTAAGCCACTTTCTTTCAGTTAAGCCGTGTTAAGCCTTTTAAAAAAATCAGAAAAATTAACACAAAATCAGCAAATTTTAGTTTGTAATTTTCTACCGTTTTTTAAAACATTTTGTCGAATCCATAGCAATACAGTTTGTCTAAAATAAGAACTCCTCCAGACATTCGTCTGGATCTGTGGTGGTGACCATGGTAACGAAGTAGGACTATTTCAAGTAGGGGTGCAGGCGGGTCACTGTTTTGGGGTGGTTTCGGCTCAGGTCGGAGGGAGAAAAGGAATCTCTTCCTTCAGTCTATTGTGTTTGTCCTAGAGTGAAGCTACCTTTCTTAAAATGCGCCATTCTTGTTTCCATAGCACCAAACGGCCTCAGACTTTGTGGCGGGAGGAATTCTTAGCTTAGGCAGACTATAGACTCCTCTGCTGGTGTTCTATTTATTGTTTTTGAGGTTAGCAATTTTTGATATTCGATACCTCTTTGTCTATAATGAAATGAGCATATCTTTAAATTTTAGGTACGGTTACGATGTAAACCAGTTTAAATTCTTCGCTCGGGCTATTACAGAGGATCCCGTTGAAAAACTACACAGATTCGTTGTGTGTTTCTTCCTGGAAGACAATACTTTGTCAATTATTATTCTGGATAACCATCATGACAGTATGTTCTACCTAGATTATATACTTTACACTTGTGTTGTTTTTTTCACGTTGTGTTTGTTTCCTTTAGCAAAAAATTACGTTAATTAAAAAGTTTATTTTGTGATTCAGGCAGTTTGGAGCTTCCTCGATTTAGACGAATGAAAGTTACGAAACCGCAATCAATTCACGAGAATTCAGGGCGATGTTTTTATCGACCTTTAGACATGTATGTTGGTAATGTGATATACGTTCGAGGAAAACCGTTTGAATTACTGGAAGCCGATGACTATACTTACGATTACATGGAAAGGAATGCAGATGTGGTAATAATGAGTAACTTTCATTATTATAATAAAATTTGCTATATAATAATTCGTTTGCTACTTTCCGCTCAATGAAATGAGAATATTTATTCTCAATAAGTTTCACAATTACTTAGAAAAAATTTATATTGGTCAAAAGATGCCGTTCCTAACTGACAAAAATTATGAAGTAATATTACAATAAGAACCAATGCACACATACTCCAGCTGCTAGTGATGAATATGTTGAAAACTTTGTTTCAGAGTTATTTTTGATTAGCTGCGTAATCTGCTGCTGAGCTTAGAAATTTTTTTTGAAACTTACTGAAAATAAATTTCTTGTTTCCTAAGCAGGACGCAGCGAACCGAACATATTGATCTGTTTTCATTTCTTTTAGTTGATTCACAATATTTTACTTTTGTTTCTATGGTTTCAGTTTCCTCTTTCGAATGTTCGACTAATTATGAGCAATTTTCAAGAATGGGTTCCAACTAAACTGCAGCTAATTAAATCTCGTTTTGAGGAGATGGATGATTCAAGAATTGGAACCATCGATTACAATAATTTCAAGTAAAGAATAAAGTTTTTTTTTTTTTTTTTTTTTTTTTTTTTTTTTTAAATTTGAAAAAGAAATTTCTTAAATCGTCTTAAATTACCGATATGTTGAAATATCTTCATACACTGTATTAATAAGGAAGAATTTCTTTTAAAGAAAATTTCTGAAATATTTAAAAAAAATTATAATTAACTAATTTTTCAATTAAATAAAAAAAATTATAATAAACTAATTTTTCAATTAAATAAAAAAAATTTCTAACTGTTTCACTTTTGATATTTTTTTCATTCTATTTAGCCTTGATGTGAAAGAACAACTCATGTTCATTCTGTGTTATGCCATAGATCAGAAGCCGGCAACATTTTACCCACCGGGGGCCATTTCGTCTAAATTAAACATAAAGTGCGGGCCGCACTTATTTCATATTCGTAACTTCTGTTAAAAAGATGAAAATTGTATTCTTGCTTTCATTTAAAATTATATCCTTAACAGATAAAAATCAAATAAAACATATTTATAATTAAAATACTTAATCCATAAATTACCAACAGGCGTGCGCGTGCTACCAAAATGCCAACACATTTAATGTCACTCCTGCGGTTGTAGCATGAAAGCAAGTTTCTCAATGTCTACCCTCATGGCAGTCGTCGAGGTTCTTAAGAGATGGTGGAGACGCTTATCGGTGAGCCTATACCTGATAGTTGATTTTACTACTTTAATCTCAGGAAACGTTTGTTCGAAAATATAAGTTCTTCTAAAAACAATGAACATACCAGCTGCAAATCGTTTTATTATTTAAGAATGATTCGGAAGAAAGACTTGAATGAAATGTTTTCAAAGCTTTGCTATTTATAAAGGTCTTTAAGAGAGTCACCGGACTGCAGATCAATAAGTTCTTTTTGGTATTTTGGAGAGATATTGTTGACACCAGCTTGAAATGGGTTCTGTGGAAACATCCTTATTTCTAAGACACATGTGTCAAATTTTTGAAAGCACCTTTCGAAATCCTTCATTAAAATACCCATTTCATTTGTGAGAGAAAGAACCTTGAGAGTTAGGCTCCTCAAATGAACTATTAACTTTTTATGTTAAGTCATGTGAAAATTTTTATTCGCAATTTGAACATGAAGAGCATTTAACCTTTCTTGTAAAAACTTGACGGCAGTAACCATATCATTTATAAGTTTATTTTTATCTTACAGTTTTAAATTTAGCTCATTCAAATGCCCGGTTATATGTGTTAAAAAAAAGCCACATCAAATATCCACTCAGGGTCAAAGGTTGTTTTTTTCCCCACTGTGAAAAGAAGGGTATGGTAAGGATAACAATGTCTATTTCTCAGGTCACAAGTGTTTCTGAATTTTTTTAACTTAATAATTTGGAAGAAAACAAATTAATTGGGAAAAAAATATTTCAAGTTTTGTAATTTAAAAAAAAAAGAAAAAAAAAGAAGCTGAAAATTACTGGTTACTTTCCAACAGTCCACAAGTAGCCGACTTCTGCTATGGATTAACTCTATAGGCTTATTTTTGTGTATATCCTCACTGTGCGATTATAGATTAAATGAAGCTCTCGTTTTCCGGTTGAAATCAATTTTCATTTCCATATAACGAATAAACTAGTCATTTGATAATTGTTAATTTACCTTTTCTTTATTTCATTTAATTAACAATTAGTCACATTTTAAAAGCCATTAATAATCTAATTTTTGACTATTTTAAAATAAATTAGGATATCCGCTTATGAAACAAGTTGTAATTTTCAATATATTTTATTCTGCAGAGAGGCTATTTACGCAGAAATTCCGGAGGAATTGAAGGCTAAGTTTCCCGAGCATGCAGTCAAGACTTTAGCTCGTTATTATGCAGAGGATCGTTACATCGGCTTGAAATTGAAAGATCTTGCGTCCAGAGTACACGCAGAACTATGCAGAAAGAAGTTCTATGATTTTGAAAATTTGAAGCTTGCCTTCTCAGTTTACGATCAACAGAAGTAAAGTTATATGATGGGTGTTCTGTAATGACCATCCTTAACTTATAATTTAAAAAAAAAAATTCTAAAAATGTGCATGCTTGAGTTGTCGAAAATCACTTTAAGTAAGAGAGAATCTAACACATCACTAAAGAGGAAAGTAGAACTAAAAATTTGTTTGATTGCCGGAAGAAACAGTGAATTAAAAGTGTAAAAATTTATTTCAATTTATATTGTTTTCGGGAAGAAGAAAATACCCATGGCTGTTAAGATTATTTTAAAATTTTTGACTAATAATCACGACTGCTTTTTTTTTACCCCAAAAAATAGTCATGAATAGTTCATAATTTTAAATAGTAAAAGTTTATTTTACTCCTTCTAAAACACGCTGTGAATAAAATAGTTTTACTACGGGCTTTTCTTTTTTCTGTCTTGTCAACCCCTATGAGGTGTTGCAAATCGATTATTACAAATATTTTGAGTTTCTCAGACAATCTAACTGGTTTTGATGTTTTTCATTCTTCCCTCTTATAATTTGACAGCTTTCACAACGTTTTTGTTATATTTTTGCTTAAATATTAATTTACGACTCTACTCTTAAAGTACATTTTTTACTTTAATTTTGACAAAGAACCTAAAAATATATAATAGGGGTGGTAATTTCGGAAGACCCTTTATTGTATTATTATCATTAAGAAAAATTTTAAAAGTTTTTTTTCCTTTTTCCTACAAATTTGTATAATAACTATGATAAAAACATAAATTGGAAAATTCTAATCATGCGGTGATGTTGTAAGTGGCAATAAGATTTTAAAATATTACTGATTAACTATTATTTTTCGGCATCTTAAGATATTTCCACGCAAAAAATAGTTTTTAATAATTACTTATTATTTTATTCAATAATAGTCGAAAAAATTTTGATTGTAAGTAAGGTATAAAAATTTTAATATGTGTTTAAATAATGTAATTTTGAATGGAAAAATACAAATTTGAACGAAATCGATCGAATAGTTCCTGAGAAATCAAATTTTAAATATCTGATTTTTGATTGAAAAAACGAAGTTAATGTATAAGAGTTAATGTTTAAATGGGTATTGACACCTTTTTATTGATTTAAACACTTTCATTTCTTAATCTATCTTCTCTTTAGTGCTAAATGGTTTTATGCATGTTTATTTTCTTTTAAAAAATACATTTTGAATTGACCATTTCTCTTCAGATCAAACTTCTTGGATCCAGAGAGAATTTACTACATACTCAGAACAACTTCGTTGCCTATAAGTAGAGATCTATTGAAAAGTTTTATTTATAAGTAAGTTGAACGTTTTACTTCAATTATGATAAATGGAACATTTCTTTTCTTTAATCTATTGCATATTCTTCTTTAATCTTAGACAGATAAAACTGATCAGTATATTTTTGGGCCATGTTTGTGACTAATTTGAAGACCGATTTAATATCGAACTCTACCAATCGAATCTGAAAAATACTTTTTCCACTTGAATTTTCGAATTTTTGAATATTAATTACAACTGAACAACATTTATCGAATAAAACCAATCTATATTTGTGTTATGTGTAAAAGAATATAAGCAAACTTTTTACAATTATTTACGATTAAAAAATGTCTTCAAAATGATCTTCAAAATGTTATCAAAATCAGTGGTTTCTAGGTGGATATCATTGAACAATATCTTAACTTTATTCTGTGCATAACAGAAACTGAACTCAAACCATTCGGCTTGTCACACAATCACGTTGACCAGGTCTTACCGTATTAGCGCCAAGCAATGTCGCTTTCTGATATTATATTCAGTAACTAATGAGTAAAACTTTTTTTCGGATTTTGATCAAGTTCCTGAAAGCGACATTATTTTTTCAAATTTTAAACTTTTCAAAATTATTTTTCGTGTGTTATTATTTAAATCCCGGCCTACTGCATGCGGTAGGCGTGTCGCATGTTGGATAATCGATGATAAACTCTATTTGATGAAAAGTACCAGCCTAAGCAAGTGGATCTGGCTGTTTGGTGGACTGTTCTTTATGGTTTGACCTGTGTCCTTTAGTTCTTGTGATTGGAAACATGAACTTTGAGATACATTTATGTGGGCACTCTGGACAAAGCTGCTCTTCCATCTCTATGGCACTATTTCGGGGAAGGCTCATTTCACTTTCAGCTGGTTTTCTGCTTCATTCACACACCACTGCTATGGTTTGGCGGAACGGGTGTTCAAAAGCGAGACTGACCTTCTAAGAGTTAGAACCCTTTTTTGATTAGAATAAAATCCTGTAATTCCAGTCTTTTGCTGTTCGATAAATAAATAGTGTGGAAAACACAATATAAACGCATTATTATTATTACTATTTTCTTAAATATCATTGGTCTCACATTAGCAATTCGTGAATCTAGGCTTGAGTTCCTTTATCTAACTTTCGTTAAAGAGTTACGACAATCGCTTCAAAATCGTCCGAAAGGGTCGATAGTGGAATGGGTTACCAAATTTGGTGATGCTTCTCTTCAATCTCACTTTCTTCCTCTGAGTTGGAAACTTCTCACTATCATAATGATTTATTTATTGTTAATTTAATTCGTTTTTTTAGTAGTTTAAGTTAGAGATCTGTTAAGTTTTGCTATTTGTTATATATAAACTTAAATGAATAGCATTTTAATTATTGATAACTTTACAAAAATATTGTTAAAGTTTGCACGTTGTTTATTTGTCGTACAAAATCGTTAAAGTTTTTCTTATTATTTTTATAAACATATTTTTATCATTTAAATAAATATTTTTATCTTAATGAAAACGATAATTCTTTGGTAAAGTAAATATTTATTTTTTTTGAATTTTTAATAACTTGATGGAATTTTTCAGTCAAAATTTAGACAACTTTCCAACTAGCTAAATCCCTCAAAACTGTACTAGAGCTCCATGTCCGATGTAAATGCTAGATACAATCATTTCCCGACAGTTATCATCAGAATTTTATCACGATATTACAGTCAAAGCGAATAGCATCAACAAATACCATGGTGTAGCAGCCAATCAGATTCGATACCACACGTGCCGTTGCTTGTAGGTCCCCAATTGAATCTGATTAGAAAATTGATTCAGTGCGATAATAAACTAATCCTAATAACTGTTATGTTAACACACCGTCTTGTTTGTATACAACTAGCTGATTTTGGTGGTCTTCTTCTCGAGTTGTAGATTCATAGGTACTGAATTATTCTCCCTGATACGAGTGGTGTGGTGCTACCATAGAGTTGATACACACAGGAGTAGTTTTAATGAATGTTCGAGAGGGGGTATGATATATATATATATTCTTTAGTGCTAAATGGNGTAAGCTTTTAAAGAGATTTATATTAATGATTTAAAGTTCTTCCCTTTCTTTTTTACTTTTTTTTGTAAAAATATGTAATAATTATTTTTTATTAAATATTTTAATCATATTTGCTTATTGGCATTCTAACTCTTTATTTTCAATTTTTATTTTTCAAATGCTTCATTCACCACAGATCGTAATTTTAACTTGAACCAGAGAACGATCAATCTCCAATCCAGTACCCCTAGAAGCATAATTTGTTATGGGAACATGGAGGACTTTGTGCCCCGATAGATTCAAAGTTCACCAATCACCATTTACTACATGGGAAACCTTCGGTCGGCTGGATTCGCCCTGCCAACCAGGCTATCCTTGCCATGTGTTTGCATATTAAAACACACAGTAGAATAAGAAAAGTAAAAGAAAATAAAAAAAATTTTAATAGGAAAACGTAAGGTTCTCATCAGGGCTCATTTCTTTACGATAGAGAACAGCGACATTTCAAAATAATGAATCATAAGATAAAAAGTCATTCTTTATAATGCGTCTATGTCCTTAAAAATTCGAGAAAAAATGCAGTTGAATATAATTTTATGATATATATATATATATATATATATATAATTATTTGTTCTCCAAACCCTCCCCAAAACTACGCCATTGTCACACAGTGAATTATAATATTTTTCAAGAATTTCTTATTTGCTTTTAAAGCTAATAAAAATTATTCAGGTTTCCGAAGACAGAAAATAAAATCAACTATAGAGACATTGTTGAAGCTATGAATTGGATGACTAGTCCATCGTGTTTTTCCAATTCCGAACCATATGCTGTAAGTAATTTGCTCTTCTAATAAAAAGTGCATTAAAATTTTTTTTCTTCTAACATTTCGATTTTCACATTTTCACGAGCATTTTTGGCCCTCTGTATTCTGATCGTTTTATGTTAAATATTTTAAGATGCTTAATTGTGTATATTTTATTAAATGAGCTTCATCACATTGTTGCCATATTTAATTTGGAGAATGAAAAAACATATCCGAAAGAAAGTGCATTTTAAAGAATAAATTAGTATTATTGTTTCACAGTTTAATTTTCCATAAAAATAAGGACATAAGAGTTAGTTACTAACAGAAACATATTTAAGATTACAAAGAAAATAATCAAGTGGAATAATAATTAATCGATATAGTTTATATCGAAAAATTGAATTTATTAAATTAACGAATTAATTTTGTAAAGTTTTTCGTTATAATTATAAAGTTTTAATAATAATTAAACTTTGGTAAAAAAAAAAAAAAAAAAACGAAAGATTGTCTCCTGCGAAACACGTGGACCTGTGAATGTGTGGGCTGTACTTTGGGTTTCGGTCCAAAATTATCAAGTTCTCTTAACTGTCGACGTCCTGAAGTTTTGACCCTGAGCTCAGTTTACGCAACGAGCGATTATTTTTCAAAGTGGCTGGATCACGTTTTTGGTCGAAAATGACATCCCCACGTGTGGAAAGGGAGATAGTGCGTATTGGCTTCGTGTGTATTGGCGTTTGCATGACTTTGGCGACAGATTTCCTTGTGCTCTGGACTTACTTCATTTTTGTAAATGCTTACGCGATAACAGTATAAGTTTCCATGACTGATTCTAATTGAAATTACCACAATTATTTTGCACAATTTTAATTATTTACGCAGGTATTTAACTAATCGTATGCCTTGTGCATTATAGACATTTGTAACATAAACAAACTGTCTACAGTTTAATTAATTGCCTATCATGAATTATAAAATTTGTAAAATAATTTAAAATTCAAATAAATGGTTCAAAACTGGTTGAATAATAAAAAAATTATCATTGTGTCCAACTATGAAATTTCGAGTTAATAACTTTAAACTCTTTTTACTCTTTTATTTAAACTTTATTTAAAACTTTATTTACTCTTTTGAACATCACAACTGATTTTTAAAGGGTATTCCATAAAAGGTGAGAGTAACTTTTTTTGCGTAATGCAACACTGCAAAAATTAAAGAAGAATAAAAAGACAAGTTTTTTTTTTCGATTTTTTTTAAAACTGATAATTGAATATTTATAAATATTCAAAACGAAGCACGCAATTTTATTATTCTAAGAGAGTGCTTTAAGAACTGTTTTTATTTGATCTACAGAAATAGAGATGAGCAACTCAGTGTTAAAAAAACGCATATCACTTCTTTTGCTAAGCAATATCTTACCAAATGCAATATTAAAATCTTGCCTCATCCCCTTTACGGATCCAGATCTCGCTCGATGTGATTTCTGGCTGTTTCCTCCGTTGAAAGAGAAGTTCAGTGTCAGGATATTTAATACAAGTTCTAACATGGTTTCAGAACATTCCATAAGATTCTCTGAAGCATTATTCAGAAAAAGACATCTCTACTTCTTTGCTAAAGTTGGTCGAGCAATGGAGGAAAGGTTTTTTGAAAAAGAGCGATTTTTCTTTTCTGTAAATATATTTATGGACTTGTATCGCTGTATTCTTAGCTTTTATGGAATGTCCTTTACATAAGTACACAATGATTCAAAAATTGTGAAACAGTTTTGCTGCAGCCCCTAGAAAGTTTAAGAAGTGGTTTTTATACTCTAATAAAGTGCTTACAGATTTATTTTATTTAGCTTTCACTTCAAAGTTTAAAAATCTTATTTTAGAGATTTTGCAACTAGATATATTTTTTATTTTCTAATATTAAGCACAGTGGTGCTGGTGATTACAAACTTATTAAAATGCACCTTTATTTTCCTAATTCTTCTACCACTTTTTATATTTTATAAAGACTGTACTGGTGATGACAAATACAAGACACTGTAAAAGCTTCAGCGAAGCTGCTACCGCACTATTACATATTAAATTTCAGACTGAAATATCATAAATCACATTTTATGTGATTGTTTTGTATATCATTATTTATGTGTAGAAATTATTTTGTCGTATTGCTTCTTTCTAAATTTTTCAGTATTTTCACAATAAAAGATTTTTACTTTTAATTTTCAGATTCAAATAAATTGGGAAAGAGTTCAAACAGAAAAAGACTTGAGCAGAATAAAATACAATTGTTTTCTGAAGGACGCTGTACATTCGTAAAATATCTTTTTTTCTGAAGAAAATGCTTAAAAGTGGAATGTGTTTTAAGAATACATATTTATTCAATTTTAATTTATAAAGATATCTTTAAGGCAAGTAACCTTAAGGTAATCTTAAGCTAATTAAAAAAGTAACCGCAAATAATTTAGAATAAAAGTGATTTAAATATTTGTTTAAAAAGTTGTTTTAATTTTACAATTTGAAATCCATTGCCTCTCTCGCTGCATGCGTTCTGTTTGATTCGTCTATAATTTTACAATTTCTGCTTTTTTAAAATAAGCGTTCGTTAAAAATATTTTAGGCTAAATATTTTCGTCGTTGTAGTCGCTTCGTCGTATTAGGCTAAATATGATTCGTTAAAGTTATTTTAAGCTAAGGCCGGATCTAACTTTCCTCCTTGCCAGTTACCATAGTATTAAAAGAATTATTACAGCCAGTTTTAAAGCCATATATCATAAAATTATTACCAGAGGAAAAACCTGGGATTCCTTTTTTTGGATAATCTCATACCATACGATCTGCCCAGACGGGTGGGTGCAGCTAACTTCAGGATATTGACTGGACATGATTACCTTAGGATGCACCTTCATGAAATTGGATTGGAGGACTCTCCGATTTGCAAACTCTGCCCGTCTGCCATGAGCTGTGATCACTTAAATTGCTGTCCTGGTCTTACTGACGTAGAAACTGCAAATGCTGTAAAGAATTTTATTCATTTTTTTGTGTGTGTGTCGGAACAGTATGGGGCTACCCATCATAGACTAACGGTGGACACGCCTAGGTCTGACGAAGGATAAAAAAAATTCAGGCTAAATAAATTGGCTAACATTAGTAAATTTATAGTATGTTACCTTTTACATAGGTAGGTACTTTATTTACGTCGCGCTGGAGCTGCACAATGGGCAATTGACGACGGTCTGGGAAACATCACTGAGAATTATCCGAAGACATGCCATCGCAATTTGGATCTTCTGCAGAGGGGATAGCTTCCTTGCTTTGGTAACCCGATGACCTGTGAGCGAAGTCGAGCACTTCATGGTTGAACAATTTAACGAGGACCGATACCGCTCTCCCTTGGTCCCTAAGCAGGCTGATCAAAGTGGTCACCCACCCGCTTACTGACCGCAGCCAGTGATGCTTAACTTCGGTACTCTATTGGGAACCGTGTCCTTACGATCAGTCCACTGCGGGGCACGTTTTGCATTGACTTCAAAGTAGGCTCAAGGTTTGTCATTATGTTATATTTTTTTGTTTGATAAGTAAGAGGAAGAGCTTGTCTTATAATTCAAAAACCGTTTGTTCTATGGTCTCGAATATTAGACAGGGGGTACAGGCAGTGGCGTAGCGAGGGGGGAGCAAGGGGGGGCATCATGCCCCGGGCGCTACACACAAAGGGGCGCCAAATGGTCAGCAAAACAAAAAGAAATATTGGATAATTTTTTTTTATTATAATTTATTTCTGGAAAATATATTTTAAATTCAGTGCCGGTGAAATATAATAAATGTTAATTCGTAAATAAAAAGGAACACTAATCAAACTGTAATAATATATTCATAATAGAAATGACACGTCTTTTCCACTGGGCTGACNCAGTCCAAAAAATAGACAAGAGTTCTTATTAGTTCATTTGGGATAGAAGTATGAAAACAATTTTTCCCTTTGGGTTAGCATATACCGCATTGTTTTAATTTGAACTGCATGCCATTCTTTAATTTTTTTCTCTTTTAAATCACTTAAAATAATATAAAAAAAACGAGTTTCTCTGAGAGTTTATTGCGCCTTCCTTTTATTTTTTATTTTTTTATTTTTTATATCTGGTATGCAAGTAAAATTGGCGTAGATGGTATGTGGAGGACGGCATCATCGAATCTTGAAAGCTATTTGAAATAACATGATTATTATGGTAATAAGTTATGCTTTTGAAACGTGTTTCGATAAACCGAATTCATGCAAAATAACTCGGCAATTGAAGCAAATGTAAATAAATAATCAAATAAAAACTCGGTAATTGAAGCAAATGTAAATAAATAATCAAATAAAAGCACGAGTTTTATATTAGAATTATGATAAGTTGGAGAAGGAATAACTTGATTGTAGTATATGTTGACTTTTAAGTATTCATTGTTATCAAAGCACCATTTTCGGATCCAATAATGTTAATCTCTCTTTTGAAAGGTTGAACTTCAAAACGCGAGTTTTGTCTAATCTAATAATGTAAAGTCACCAGGAAGTGCTACAGATAATTATAAATTAAAGTATTCTAAATTTTTTTATTTATGTCGGTTTCAGTTTTGTGAATGATTGTATGGAGCAAACTAATACCGATTCATTGATTATTTACGATTTTACCTGTAAAAAGAATAATCAGTTAGTAAATAAATAAAGCCTAATCAGTTCATCAAACCTTTACTAACAAAAAATACAATGCAGAATATTTGCAGACAATTTTACCATACACATCAGAGACCGTGGAAATGAATCAACCTTGGTTATGCATCTAAGAACTTTGTTCCATATGCCTTCATCTTCGCTTTTACATCGTCGTGCCTTTTCCCACAAAGGAAATTTCACTATGCATTTAAGCTTTTTCCGCAATCTTTTTTCTTGCCTAGCACACATTTGACCTCTTTTCCAGAAATTTTGAATGCATTTCAGGTACTTATTATTCTGTAAAGAAAACTTTCATATAATCTCAGAACTTTTTTTCCACCAAGAGAGAAAAAAAAGTGTTAATCAGGTCGCACAGAAACGAATGACACATTTTGAACAAAAAACGGGTAATACATCGGCTAGATTTATTTCTTAGCCATCTCTTTTTCCGTTTGGCTGATTTTTTTACACAAAACAACAAAACGTGAAATCTTTAATTCCAAACTTTCTTCCTATGTTTACATTTTCAATTACTGCAAATAAAGGAACTTCTGGTACTGTGCAAACTTCTGTTTGCCAGCAGTATTCTCGGCTCCCTTGTGTTTATTTTACTGGTTTTCTCAATATCATCGTTTATAGCTCCGTTGTATCAATCATTTCAGCAATACCTTAGTAATTATTAAAGGATATGGTAGATATTGTAATTAAAATTAGTTAATTTGGCGAAAGCATTTAAATAAAATAAAAAATATTTTTTTACGTTTAATAGTTTTTTTGCAATAAATAATTTTGTTACATTCTTTTAACATTCAATTACAATTTCTTTTTCAATGCATTTTCATAAAAAGATAAAAATCTTTTTAAAGTAAATTTGTAGCATTGCTTTATAGTAAATGACTGGACCAAATTCGAACGTAAACAATAAAGACAACAATACAGAGAAGAAAAAAAAGAGCCTTTTGTGGCTCCTTGTTTCTTGCATTATTATGAAAAACAATAAAATTTAATCTGAATCCCTGTGCTTTCTGGTATTGGAAATACTTGGAAGTGAAATGTCAGTCCATTTCGATTGTAACAAACAGACTATAAAACATGCATGCAAATTTTTTTTTAGACTACGTCATATTATTACTCCAAGTGGAGGCTATATCGACAGTACTGATACAAGCAAGATTTAGAATTACTTGAACACATTGTATTTGTCAAAACTGAAAAGCATAGGATGGGTCTCTTAATTCGCAGCTCTTGTTGCTGTTTTAGGCCATTAAGACAAGGGGTGCGATTGTTCTTGTTTTCTGATGACGCCATCTATGTCCAAGAATTTGACTTTTGCCACACCCATACGTCAGATCTGTTTATAGGCCGGACCCATTCATACATACATTCATTCATCCATAGATCGTAATTTTGACCTGAACCAGAGAACGACCAATCTCTAATCCAGTATCCCCAGAGGTATAATTTGTCATATGAGCATGAAGGATTTTGTGACCTGGCAGATTTAAAGTGCACCAGTCTATATTTACTACACGGAAAGTCTTCGCCCGGCTGGATTCGAACTCCCGTTCTGACGAAAGTGACGACACCTGCCAATCAGATTATCCTGGCCCTGGTTGGCAGCTCTTAAGGTGTAAAAATGCCAAGGTAATTGGGAGGTGTAGCAGTGAAAAAAAGGAATACCCTAAATAACTTTTGATCTAAGTATCGGATTTTTCACATACTGAGACTTAATTAACAGACATTTAGACATTTTAATTAATTCGAACACACAATATTTTAAGTTGGCTGGAAGTTTGGACTCCTTAATATTAAATTATGTATAAAACTACGTATTTTTATAAGAATTGAAAATTTGAATTATATTATTTGTTTAGTCGAAAACAATTTTTAATAAGCATTTTTTATTTATTAATAGTCGGAAAAAATAGGATCGTAAGGTATACAAACTTTTAATCAATATTAAAGTATATAATTTTAAATGGCAAAATACAAATACTGAATGAAGTGTNTTTTTTTTTTTTTTTTTTTTTTTTTTTTTTTTTTTGCTATTTAAAAAACATTTAAAATGATGTAAACATTTGTACAGGGTAAACTAACCAGTGAAGGAACATTTCATATATATTGATTAAAAATAAGAATTTGAAAGTTTTTCTTTAAATTGATTAGTAACAATAGCTTACTGCCAAACAATAGGAAGTCATCTAGCAATGTTTTGGATTACCTGGTCAAATAGACTTCTCTGGAAAAATTTTTGAATTTGTTATTATCTCTGCAACACCTTGTTTCTTTGAAAAAATTATAAGGTGAGTGTTTGTATTTATATGTTTGAAGTGGAATTAATTGCATGTAATAGTTTTATTTTTCTCACTGTGAAAAAGAGAATTCAAAATATAGTTATTGAAGTTACGTTTTATTTTTTTTAAGCATCATAGCATAATAAAGTACTGAGATAAGGGGGTGTTTATTCACTGGATCACCAAACGATGAAAAACCAGTGAAGGAACAAGTGTTCCTTTACTGGTTTTTTTTCTAAGTTAATGAAAATAAAAGATAAACTTTAATTTTCTTGTACCTTTAGTGATGTTCCGCATCAAAAGTATGTTAAAAATACGAAAAACAACTTCTAACCAGTGAGGGAACAGGCATGTTCCTTTACTGGGCATAGATTTCCCAGTGAATGAACAGTATGTGTTAATATGTTGACACTTTAATTTTCAATTCATGATTACAAAAAAAAGTTAACATTCTCCAAGTATTTATATGTTATAACTACAGGAATAGGCTTGTTTTTAAATATTTGTATGGCTTATAAATTCATAAAGAGCATTTAAAAAGAACTAAAATTAAGTGTTCCTTCACTTGGTCTTCTTACTACTTGTTATTTGAACCTCCGAAACTTTAAAACAATATTATGAAAGTTCTCTACAATTATTTTACATAATTCGGAATTAGTAACAAATATGTTGACACTGTCATTTAACTAAAATTACGAATTTTGAAATTAATATGATTTTTTTAAAAGGCAAGCGAAGCTTAAGTGTTCCTTCACTCGTTAGTTTACCCTAGATTAGATCTCAACTTTTTAGAGAAACTTTTTTTTCCGACTGATACTAAATAAAATAATAAATGATTACTGAAACTTATTTTTTGCATTAAATTATGTTTGAATAAACGAGTTTTATGATTGTGTGCAAAAAGTTTTCTCTTCACTTAATTAGTTTTCGAGATATAGCGAAACAATGCAATTCATCGATATAGTTGTTAATATACCATGTAAAATTGTTATTTACATTGTCAGTCAAGAAAACGTAACAGGTAAGTGAGAAGGGGTTAATTTAGAATTTTATGGTTAAGGTGCCTTTTAAAAATGGAGGACACTTATTACGGCGCCAATGTAATTAGTGTGCTGTCTATGTATTTCGTTGTGATAGATAATATAGTTTGGAGAGATTAAGGTTAGTATATATTTTTTTCAATAACAGAGGTTGCATCAGGAGAATGTTTTCGAGAAAGTGTTTACAGTCAGTAAGTTAGCTTTTCAGGTATTACAGAAAGTAAAGTTATAATTTTTAATTTTAGAGAGTATCTCTTATTTCTTACAGATAAAAGTAAGAGTTACTTTCGAATCTAAAATTGTCAGGCCAAAGCCAAATTGATTTAGCCTTGGCTGGCTTAGCCGAAGCTATCTGGCTTTGGGTTAAATTTAAGTTAGATCTTTTAAGTAAATTCAACTAATCTTTTATTAATTGTTCCATTAATTATTTATGTGCGTTATTATTATTAAAATACCCTTTTAAGTTTATATACTCAATTTATATGGGTCATTTTCAAAAGGAAAAAAAAAACTTTTTTTACAATGATAAAAATATTTGATTCATCGCTTATAAAAATTTCAGCTTCAATCGGAATGTTTCTTGCACATAAACCTTATAACAGCAGTGCACTTTTTAATTTGCAATATGAAGTTTTGAAAAAAATTAACTAGAATTTGGCTTATATTTCCCTCCGTTACCAATGTTAAAAAAATTTTTAAATACAAAATACGCTACTGGAAACAGTAAACATCATATCGGCACCTACATTATTGTCACCGACATGCAGCATCAATTATTTTCTATGTTAATATTTTTATTATTGAAAAAATATTTTAATCTGCTATTTATATTTAAAGTTAGTATCAAAAGAGAAAGTTACACTCTAGTCAAATTCACACTGTAAATTACAAAAATTGCTCTTTGAGAAACTATATAGGGAAATAAAGCTTAAATGCACAAATGGTTGGTAGTAGATTGGAAAAAATTAACATAATTAATATCTATCTATCTATCTATAAACTTCAGATTAAAGACCAAGTGTCACAATTTTTTTATACTCTCGTTGAAATAAAAATACTGAAGTCATAAACTTCAGAATAACGACCATTGTGACAAAATGTTTTTACATTTTATTTTCAAAGTACACAATCCTGAATACAAATTTCAGATTGAAATTTTTTTTACAAAAAATGTCAATTTGTATTTTTATATCTCATATCACTTGTATTTTCATATTTTTTACCTTTCATGTTTTTGAATATTGACAAAATGAATATTTACATTTTGAAGAAAATTTTTATAGATTTTCTTATTCTAAGTGAAAAGTTTACTTAAATTGTGTTAGTATGAGGAATAACTTTGTTTTTCTGTGATTTTTAAAAAGGAACTTAAGAAACTTAAGTCACAAAAACTATTGAAAATGAAGATCTAACACTTCATTTTAATGGTAGCGTTACTTCAATTTTTTTTCCCTCGAGACTTTCATGAAATTTTTTTTATATTGTGTACTAATGCGTATTTTTTATAATTCATGTTACTTTAAATCTTGTTAAAAGTGCAGTTTGATTTTTTTATTTTAATTGTGTCATCATAGGGAAAGTTTTTCAAAGGGATAATTTTTAAAATTTTTTGATAGTAGTTAAAATTTTTCGGCGAGGGGGGTGTAACATAAAAAGCTTCTATTAATCTTTTTATGTTAGTTTCTTCGTTATAAAACAACTCCTAATTTATTACTACTTAATTCCTCGAATCGAAGCACTTTATCATACTTTTAAAAAATCACATCCTGTTCTAAATCTATTTTTGGCCCAACTATGCATAAATTTAAATAAAGATATTTTTCCTTTTAAGCTTTGTGGGAATCGCGTGATCTATTTAATTAGCCAATAGTAATTTCTGAGATTTCCCTCTTTTCCCTAAATAGAGACATTTTCGGATTTTTTTTGCAAGATTTTTCTCTACCTGCTGATGGAGTAAACATCACTTTTCACTCTCCACTCAACTAAGAATGATCAAATAAAAGTTACTCTGATCTCATTAAAATCCTGTGTCTGTTTTCCTGCTCGGTCCGACTGCATCATTTTACATA